ATTTTTGCTTAATAATCATAGTTCAATGTGGCATAAATATCGAAATATTTATACTTTGGCCTAGCAGTTACCGTATAGTTAATGGCGTCTGCTCTGACATAATTACAATTTTAGTCAATTTCCGTTTCTCGGGTGTTTATTTTTTATTTGGCTGCCGTTGAGGCACTAAAAACGATTTTATTGATTTGTGTTGTCACGCAACTTCCTCTAATGGCTTCCTCTTTCTGCTCCTTATCCCCTATTCCTTATGCCTTATCCCTGCCTGTATATCATTTTTTCTCTCTCTCTTCATTTTTGCTTTCCTAAATTAGTTTTTCCTCCCAAGTTACAAGAAGAATCATCCATAATTAAAAAAGCTTGGCAAAGTCAGTCCTCAATATGTGATGTCTTGAGGATTTTCAATTAGTTGTCGTCACCACCCTGCGGGGCGGGTGTGGAAGTGACATGGGATGAGGGGAGGGGGATGGATCTGGTTGGGATTGGCGGTGGCTTCCAGTAGGCTTCCACTGCTTAGTCAGCGGCAAGAACATAATGAAGTCGAAATGAGTTTAAACAGAGGGGCTGCCCCCAGAGTAGGAGTGAAGGAGAGTGGCTTTCAGTCCGTCCCCGTCCTCGTCTGGTCTGAGTCACATGTGCGCCAGACTTTGACTTTGCCTAAAGACGCTTAATGTAAACCCGCCCCGGTAATTTGCATTCACTTGAACCCTTCTAAACCCCCTCCCTTCCCTTCATGGCAATTTCCAGGTCCCCCTAACTTATTGGATTTGCCGGTTAATAAACTATGCACTTACTAATTAAGTACGCGACTCGCTGTAAATAACTTATGGCGGCAAAGTAGGTGGAAAACGCCCTCAGCCATGCAGCTGAGAATTTTTAGCAAGAAAAGAAACTAGTTATAATGAAAGGAGGTCTGCTTTTCACGGCAGGAGCATGTAGTACTCTGAAAGAACTACTATTTCTCTTTTATTCTTTTGTAAAATGACCTGATTATGTCTACCGAAAAAAAGAGTGAAGTTTCTATCTTGATTAAGAGTTCAGTAAGTTGTTAAAAATGTTGCCTAAATAAGTACATTTGTTCAACAATATGCTCTGTAACTTTGTAAGTACATTTTAAGTTTAAATAGTTCACAGTAAAGTTTACATTACTTTCAATACCTAAGTTTTGACAGATAATAACTTTAGGTATATGTACATCTAACACACAAACTATAGAAACCCTTATGCAAGGGCATCGTGCCATTTCTGGGAAAAAGAATGAATAATTGAATTTTAATACTTTCGTGTGACAAAGAGAGAGAAAGAGTGGGAGAGTGAGGCAACTCTGGAAAATGATTACACTGAACTTGACAAGGGAACACATAGCTGGGGTTGAGGAGGCAAAAAGGACGAGAGGCGTTGGTCAGGACACTGGCTGCCACGGCTGCCCTCATGTGGATGCATAAATTTCCCGCTGACAGCTTCGGACGGAGGGGGTGTTTGCTGTTCCATTGGCACTTCATGTGTCCATTTAGAGGCACAGAGCGTTGTGTTTTTTGTTTTTCACCTCCTTCTCAGGCCTAAGCAAACCTGCACGCGATGCACACTGGTTATATTTATTGTTTTTTGTTTTTGCGCCAGGTTCTTGAAAATTATAAAGGTATATGGTATTTGTAAAGCTGCGTTTAAGGGATATAATCAAAGGAAGATATATTCTAACAGAAAATTAATTTGTTTATAATGAGAAATTACAGCTCAATTATACAAATATTACGCTCTCAAGAGCTACATTTTGTCTTAAAAACTAGCCTGACGCAGCTCTTTAGTTTTCACAGAAAGTATTGCCTACTTTTTTGGGATACCCTTTGTAACACCTTTCCCTTAAATATTCCAAATCCAAGCTTAGATATGGGAATGTTCTTTAGTTTGCTAGGTATTTCACTAGTCGAGAAGCTTAACTCTAATATTTAATGTTGCTGTTGCTCCAATTGTTGTAGTTGTTCGTTCCAGTTGCCTAAGTTGGTGTTGTTGTAGTATGACCATTCTCGTTAGTAAAGAGCAGCAAAAACAACAACAACAATAGGGTGCCATCAACAACGCTCCGCCTTCTTCGCTCCTTTTGAGCCTGAGCAGGCAGGCAGGTTCTTTTTATTGAATACAGTTGTTCGGCCAGAGCCACGCCCAGTTCGGAACACACACACACACATGCACACACTCTTGGCACACACTCACGCAAGTGGGCGGCACAAATGACCAGTTTTTTTTTGAGTGTGTGTTTGTATTTGTGTGTTAATGATGCCCTGGTATTTCGGCTGAATTATTTATATGCTTATGCATTTGCAGTTGGCAAACTGCAAACAAAACACCGAAATACCATTACAGTAAACACACTTTAATAGTTTAATGCCAGCCAAGCAACCAAAAACAGAAACTTTCATACCCAATTGCCACGGAGTATTAGATGGAGAGGAAAACTAGACCAAAGTTGGCCAATAAAAAATATAAGTTTCAGTTAAGAAAGTGCCATGAAAGTTGTCAAAGTTATACATTTTACAAAACTGAATTACGAGTGAGTTTAAACAAAAAAGTATAAAGATGTTAACAATGGAGTGTTCTTTATTATAAATCAGAATTTAAATTCTTCAAAATATCAACAATAATTATTTTCTAACTCCAAAAATATGCATAAATATCTGTAACTGATTTAAGTAAGTCTTTTATAATTTCATACACCATTGGAAGTATTTTGTGCTATTAAAACTATTCATAAATGGTTTCTAAAGTTAAGACATCCTATATTACTTATCTATGAAACAATTTTTTGTATATACCCAACTGATGTACATAATTTTTCCCAGTGATGTCAGATTTTCATAGAATATGCATGGCATATAATAATGCCCATTTGACTGAAAGAGCAACGTGGACCAAGGCAGACGCTTTTGACGCCCAAAAACTTCCGTCCTAACGACATCTGTTCCTCGTGTCCTTGCCGCTGCTGTTGCAAGTTCCACAAAGTTACACAACAGCAACAGCAACAATGTTCTGGGCTCAAAATGGAGCAAGTTTCAAGGGGGCCAGCGGGGGTGAGAGACAGTCACCGACACATGTCAAAGTTTTGCAATTTCAAAGATTTCTTTTTTTTTTGCGGGCAGTTGCGAACATGATTTTTTGGCAACCGCAGAGCATGGGGGGAAAAAAGGAGCAACTGCAGGCACTTCTCCGCGTTGACCACACAATTTACGCTGTGTCCCCTCTTCCTTTTCCCTTACATTAATCCATTAAAAACTTCGTTTAGCTTCGGCCAAAAGGCAACTTCATTTAAAACCAATTTCATGGGCACACACCCACCCGTACCATGGTTTTTGGGGAGTCCCCATGAAAATCAAAGTTGCACATTGTTGCCGTGTCCTGTGATTTTTTTTTTGAGTGGGGTAGGAGGGGTTGAGAGGAAGGCGGCAAGTGGTGGGACTTCCTCCAACTTTTGACCGCCGTGTGACATCATCGTTGGTGAACGTCACGTGCACGGGTACAGTTCAGTCCCAGTCCCAGTTTCAGTTTCCTGACGTCGTATCCTTGGGTCTCCTGATGTGCCACTGACAGAAATTACAGTTGGCGTGAGTTGGAAAGAAGTGAAGTAAGCGGTGACTCTGACGAAATAATTATTGCACACATTTTCTGGGCCACGCTTGATTGACAGGACAGCCGGACTTGCAGGACTTCCTGCGACTTATTACCATTTTGCAAGTAAATTGAGTTGTTAACTAAGTAGAAAGTGACTTTGAGGGAAACTGATCATTAAAAATGCTAAAAGGGTTTGGTACTAACTGCTATAGTTTTAGGTTATTTATGTATTTATTGAACTTAATAAAAGTAAACTCTGTTAGTCGAAATCCCTTGCAAGGTATTTTTGTTTTAGTCAGAAGCTTATACCGCAATGAAGGAGTCATTTCCGACCCTATTAATCATATATATTCTTGATCTAATAAAAATTAAGATAGGGCAGCTTTCCGATTTCAAATTAAAGCATTTTTGGCTTAGTTACGAGTTTTTTTTAACTTTGATATGTCAATAAAAAAATATCATATGAAAATATAGATTTTTAAGAATCTTGCATAGATTATTATAATTTTAATCAGTGAAGGAGTCATTTCCGACCCTATAAATCATATATATTCTTGATCAGCATCAAAAAGAGAATCGATCTGGAAGAAAACTAAATTTTCAAAATTTTTTCAATATTTGAAATTTTTTATAAGGGGTTACATCGTTAAAATTGTTCAAATTTCGCCAAAAAAAAAAATGAAATTTTTAAAATATTAAATAAAGTATGCAGGTTTATTAACCTACTAAAAACTAACTTAGGACAGTTTTCGGAATTAAAATTAACGCTTTGTTGGCGTAGTTAAGAGTTTCAGAAGATTTGATTTTTGGAAAAACTGTTGTGTGTAGATTCAAAGAATGTAAATATTTTAATCTCACTTATGATCGATTTCTTATTCAATCATATAATACATTTACAAAGTGCAAGGTTATATTAATTTCGGCTTTCTTTGCTTAATTGCCTTTTCTTATACTAACTAACTTCATAAAAGTAAGCTATGTAATGCTTATACACTTCTGTGAAAGCTTAGTTACTAAGGAAATACAACTCCAATTTACTTTCCCAAGAGCTTATGTTAATTACGTACACAAACACCTTATATATAAAATTAAATAGCTTTTTGCTTAACTACAATATAGCCCTGAAGCGTATAGAAAACTGCGCAAAATTAGCTTAATTCATGCAAAGCTAAATCTTTTAGCGCGGCTTAAGTGGAGCAGCATCAGAAGCTGCAGCAGCAGAAGCTGAATCAGTAGCAGCGGCAGCTGGGGCAACAATTAGTTTAATTTATGCAACGCCGCGTTGCACTCGAGATTTGCATTAAGCTCCTTCGCCGGCGCTTTCAACGAGAATGAATACGAAACTAACGAGAAACTAACTATATTTTCTCATCCTTTACTTTATTTTTTGTGTTTTGCAGGAGAATGGAAGATCAGTTCCTGATGTCACTGCTAGCCCGGGACGCGCTCCGCCCGGCCCGCTGCCCGCCAATCAGCTGTCCTCGTTGGGCAACCAGCAGCAGCAGCAAATGCACCACCAGGGCAACCAGCAGCAGCACCACCATCATCAGGGTAACCAGCAGCACCATGGCAACCAGCAGCAGCACCACGGCAACCACCGTGGCCAGAGCGGCGGCTCCATGTCGAACTCTGGCGGCGGGGGAGTCAAGGATCCGGTGATGCTGCAGGGTGACTTCCGCAAGGTCAGCGGCATCAGTTCCGAGATCTTCCGCCAGATAGAGGCCGTTGAGAATGATCACGATCCGAATACGGCGGCAGCCTTGGAGGCGGTGGAGCGACGTGGCGAGATGATAGTCCGCATCCTGGAGCCCCGTTGCATGGGCAGCAAGCAGGCCGTAGATGCTGCCCACAAGCTGATGAACAAGGCGGATGGAAGGCACACGGTGCAGCTGGTGGAGATTGTCAAGCGACCGGGACAGACACTGGGTCTGTACATACGCGAAGGCAACGGGGCAGATCGCACCGATGGTGTGTTCATCTCAAGGATTGCCCTGGAATCGGCGGTGTACAACAGCGGCTGTTTAAGGGTAAGTTTAACTCAAGATTACTTAATGTAAGTATTATAATTTTCCTAAATGTTTTCAGGTGGGCGATGAAATCCTGGCCGTTAACTTGGTCGATGTGACCCACATGTCACTGGACGATGTCGTTATCATCATGTCAATTCCGCGCCGCCTGGTGCTGGCGATACGTCAGCGACGTGGCAATCGCGGCACGGGTTCACCAGGACCACCGACGTTGTCGCGTCCGGAGCAGAAGCCGCCGCCGGTGGTGGTAATCAAGCGGGATCTGCGGGACGAGGATCTGGACGAGACGGACCGGATGCCGAGGCCGCGCTCATCACGTGAAAGACGTACAGGTAGTTTGAAATGGACGCCGTGTTCGCCATGCTAATCCGTTGTTATTTCCTCCATTTATTCCAGGAGATGGCCGCGAAATGACAGAGTCCCGATCACGCCTGGGCCTGGGCCTCAACAACTACAGTCCGCAGTCGGAGCAGCTGGACATGTACTACAATACCCGCGGTGGTGGCGGCGGCGGCGGCGGAGGAGGAGGTGCCATGGGTGAGCCACCGAACTGGGGCTACAAGCCACCACCTCCGCCATCTTCGGTGATCACGGAACAGCCGACAAAGGGACATGCATTTGCTCCCTCGCATGCTTACTACCAGAATGCCGGCACCCTAGAGAGTCTGGCCGAGAAGGTGCATGCCTTCTACCCGGGACAACCGGGAGGTCCGCCCGTGGTGGGTCCTTCGAGAAGGATGTCCACTGGCACCGGCAATGTGGGTCTCGCCCAGCAGCATGCTCGATTCCCACGTTCCGGCTCGGATCAGCATTTACCTCGCGTGGAATATGCCGACTACTCCAACTCCCTGGGGCGGCACTCGCTACTCCGTTCGAGCTTGAAGCCTGGCACAGCTGGAGGAGCACCGATGCCCGTGGGAGTGGGCGGCACCTTGGGACGCTACGGACGCTACGATCAACAACGCGGCGGTGTGTCCAAGTACGGACCACCAGCTGGCGGAGCTCAGTCGCTGACACGTCGCTCTAGGCCCAACCTGGACTACTCCAGCGATACGGAGGCAACCATTGGACCGCGGCCAAGTTACTATTATTACAATCGTCCCGCCATTGGCAGCATGCCGCGTGGAGCAGGACCCGGACCGGGCTCTGCTGCAGCAGCCGCTGCCATGCTGGCCGGAACAGCGGATCTCAATAAGTTCAACTCGCTGCCCAGAGAGCGTCCCGGCGTGAGATTGGGAGGCATTCGCTCGCGGATGGGTGATCGCTTGGTGGACGAGAACGATGGCAATACCTCGGCGCCCGAGTTTGATGTGCGGCGAGGCAGGGATCTGCGTCAAAGGATCACCGCAAGTCCTTCGATATTCACGGCGGACGAGTACCGCGCCTGGCTAAGAAGGGCGCCCAGCAGCTCGGCAATTGCGGAACAGATGCGGATGACCCGCGACATGTTTGCCCAGCCCCGGGCACAGCGGTTCTCCTGCAGCGCTGAGAATATCCACGATGCATTGAGAAATGTAAGTTATACCCTTTAATTTCATTCAGAAGTATACAATTTAGTGAAGGAGTCATTTCCGACCCCATAAATCATATATATTCTTGATCAGCATCAACAGGCGAATCTTTCTAGCTTTCTCCCGCAAATATTTAATTTTTTCAAAATTTTTAAAATTTTATAAGGGGTTACATCGTTAAAATTGTCAAAAATTGGCAAAAATTTGAATTTCTTCAAATTCTTAACTAAGTATGCAGATTTATTTACCTAGTAAAAATTAACATAGGACCGCTTTCCGAATTAAAATTGAAGCATTTTTTGCTGAGTTATTAGTTTTTTAAACTTCGATTTTTTCGAAAAAATTGTCATATAAAATATTGATAATTTTTGATTCAAAGAATGCAAATATTTTAATCTGTAAGGATATATCAACATCGGCTTCCCGAAGCTAGTTTCCTTCCTTGTTATTTTATTTAAACTTTATAAATCTACGACGAATTTCTTTCCACATAGACGGAGAGCATCTACTCGAGCAGAACCCACATCCTTGGCACCGGCACTTTGGACCGCAATATGGGCCTGACCCGCCCGATTTCCGCTTTGCCGGTGCGCTCCATGTCCTCGCAGCATATCGGCGGAGCGGGTTCCATTCGCTCGCCGAGCATACGTCGAATGCGGCAACTGCTGGAGCTCTCCGCCGGCCCAGCCAGTCCCAGTGGCAGCATCATGAGCACCGGTGGCCACCAGAGTCCAGCACCCACGCCAAGTGCCACACTGCCGCGTCAGCACCGTCAGATCGACATCAATCCGGCGGAGTTTGCCAAGTACAAGCTGGACAAGCCAATTGTGGATATTGGTGGTGTATCGGGCATGCTGTGGATCCATCTGCTGGCAGGTCGCAGCCTAAGAACAGCACCCGAGGGTGCAAGCGGAGGAGCAGCACAGCCCGGACAGACCAGGGATCTGTACTGCGTCATCGAATGTGATCGCGTACACAAGGCAAGGACGGTGGTGCGTTCCGGTGATCTGCAGTTCGATTGGGACGAGTCCTTTGAACTAGATCTGGTGGGCAATAAACAGTTGGATGTCCTGGTCTATTCCTGGGATCCCCAACACCGACACAAGCTGTGCTATCGCGGGGCCATCTCGCTGTCCGCCATCCTGCGCCAGTCACCGCTCCACCAACTGGCCCTGAAGGTGGAGCCCAGAGGTACGATATACATCAGGATGCGGCACACCGACCCATTGGCGTTATACAAACGTCGCGGACTGCCTAGCCTGAGGGCTGGTTACCCCACACTCTTTGGCGCCGATCTGGAGACGGTAGTCAACCGGGAGTCGAAGGGTGCGCCTGGATGTGCACCAGTTCCCATTGTCCTCAGGCGCTGCGTGGAGGAGGTGGAACGCCGGGGGCTCGATATAATCGGGCTATACCGACTGTGCGGCTCCGCCACCAAGAAGCGGCTGCTGCGCGAGGCCTTCGAGCGTAATAGCCGTGCCGTGGAATTGAGCCCGGAACATGTTCCTGACATCAACGTCATCACCGGCGTGCTCAAGGACTACCTCAGGGAGCTGCCGGAGCCGCTGTTTACGCGCTGCCTCTTCCAGATGACGGTGGATGCTTTGGGTAAGCTCTATCAAACCCCAATGCCAGGAGAAGCAATTAAAAATGTTCCCTCTTCCAGCTGTCTGCCTGCCAGATGACCCGGAGGGCAATGCGAAATTGATGCTTAGCATTCTCGACTGCCTGCCGCGGGCGAACAGGGTAAGTTTTTAGTTGGATAATTATTGAATTCTGAACTAAAATTTCTAATTGTGTGTAGGCCACTTTGGTATTCCTGCTCGACCACTTGTCGCTGGTCGTTTCCAATTCGGAGCGGAACAAGATGTCCGCCCAGGCGCTGGCCACAGTGATGGGTCCACCGCTGATGCTGCATTCGGCGAGTGCGCAGCCGGGGGCTGACATCGATCATGCCCAACCGATCGCGGTGCTCAAGTATCTGCTGCAGATCTGGCCGCAGCCGCAGGCGCAGCATCAGCAGATGGCGCAGCACATGGGTGGCGCCGCTGGAGCGATGATGGTGGGCGGTCTAGCCACCGCCGGTAGCATGAGCAATATGGCCGGTGTTGCTTCAGGTAACGTACTCCCAGTGTCCGATCCACCCAAAGACTGAGCAATCTCCCCTCTCCCTGAGCAAGCCAAAGACCACACAGGACACAGTTATCCGAACCGAAAGAAAATGAATACAATTTAGCAAACACACCCCACACTTGCAAGAGTTTATTTCCCTCTTTTTCATGTTTCTGCTTTGGATGCATCGCAGCATCAGCAGCTGTTTTCCAAGCCAAGTCTTCCAGTCACCCAGCTCGACCTCCTTTCAACTTCAACTTAAACTTGAACTCAAGTGCGGCACTCGAACCGTTCTCACTGTTAGCTGTTAATGCAATCCACATACACACAACATACAAAACATATTACATTACAACATCAGTCAGAGACTCAACAGGTTGCCACTGTTAAATAGTATTAACTTAACATCAGGTCAAATAAATAAATGGGGTCATATCATTGACTTTATTAACTATTTATACGATTATATTAGCTGTAAATCCTTTTAAAACTAAACACATCAATTAATAACTCTTTAAAATGTGCTAACTTAAAGTATGTTCCAGATATCTATGAATTTATTCAAGATTTAGAAATCAATTTTAAGAATTTATACGTTTCTTGAATCTATAATAACAAAAAGTAGTACATAATACCATATATACAAGTGGCAACTGTTACACCTCACCCTATAAAACCCAAATCACCCAACTCCACTCCACTCCAACACTCCATATCCAACACTTTCCAAACATCCACTCAGCCACCCGGCATGACCTCGATTCGCGTCCACATTAATATTGATTAATACAGAGTCCTATGTAGACAGGTCGGCGCGGCGAGTCAACAGGGCAGCGTGGAAGCAAAGTCAGTGCGTTGCCAGCGGACAGACAGGCACTTCTACTGCAGCAGCAGGCGCAGCTCATGGCGGCGGGCAACCTACTCCGCTCGTCCACTTCGGTAACCAACATACTCTCCCAAGGCCATCCTCAGCTCTCAGCCACAGCCAACAGTCATCTGTATCAATCAGTAGTGGGTCAGTTAGCTCAATCGCATCGAGCCTTGCAACAAGCGGTGCAACAGGTAAACAAACAGTAATCACACTCACAACACAACACACCACAGGCAGAACAACAGAACAGCCATGCGAACAATGAGAAACTAAGACAATTGAAACAATATGATAACAATTAACAAATAATCATAAATACTCAATCACCACATACACAGAACATACCTCATTCACATTAAACACACAACACATTGCACTCTTACTAATATCCAAAAAAGATATGCTTAGGGTGGAGGATCTGTTTTTGGCTTAGAAGTTTATTATTTTCAGTTTACAGGGTATTTTTTACTTAATATAAGCAATGGTGATTATAAAATTTAAATACAATTTGATTTACAAGATTTTTCTCAAAGTCAAAAAGATGACATGATTTAATTGTTAATATATGTTGTTTTAGTTTTTTCCTTTGAAGGGTATTATTATTTTAGTCAGAAGCCTTTAACGCAGCGAAGAAGTCATTTCCGACCCTATAAACCTTATATATTCTTGATCAGCCAAAATTTTAATTTCAAACTAAGTATGCAGTAGCTTTCCGAATTTAAATTAAAGCATTTTTGGCTTAGTTATGATTTCTTTTAATTTGATTTGTCTATAAAAATATCATATAAAAAGATGGATTTTAAGAATCTTCCAGAAGTTGTTACAATTTTAATCAGTGAAGGAGCCATTTCCGACCCTATAAAGCATATATATTCTTGATCAGCATTAACAAGGCAATCGATCTAGGCATGTCTGGAAAAATAATAAATTTTTCCTAAAATTTGAAATTTTTATAAGGGGAGCATCGGAGCTATGGCAGCACGCTCTTCGGTAGCAGCGGCCTGGGCAACGGCAATGGGAGCCACAATCATTCGGGAACCAATCCCAGTCCCTTTACCACCACCAACGGCAATGGGAATCACAATACCATGCATTTGTATGGAACCCTGCCCAAGAACGGAAAAATTTCGAAAAAAAATTGAAATTTTTAAAATATTAAATGAAGTATGCAGATTTATAAACCCACTAAAAACTAACATAGGAAAGCTTTCCGAATTAAAATTACTACATTTTTGGCTTAGTTATGAGTTATTTTTGAACTATTAGGGTATATCATTTATCATGTTTCTTTAAAAATTTAATAGGTTCAAGAGGTTATATTATATATTATTATATTTTTATATTTTATTATATATATTTTATCACCCCCACTAAACGAACTAACAGACATAACGAAACAAAAACCCATATAAGACACTTCACAATTCAGAAACATTTTCTTGCTCTTCTAACTTTTCCTGTTGACCGTTCTGCAAAAAAGTAACGATGATGATACGAACATACATATATTTTCCTACTTAACTATTGAAACTAACCAAGCATTATCTGTTGTCGATTTGATTTGAGCTTCTTAACAAAAGAATAACATTGCCAAGCAAATAACAAATAGCATAAAGTAAATCCTATAATTTGCTGTGATCCGTGATCGATAGACGTTGTAATTGTGACTTACACATATATATCTATATATATCTAAATATATACTCCGACATGTCAGTGTGATATATAACATAATATAACGATGGTAATAATGATGATGATTTGAGCGATGTGATAAATGTTGAACGGCGTGTTAAGCATGATTGGCCCACTACTGGTAACAAATAACATACTCGTAACGACTATTCCAACCACCTCTCTATCTCTATCTCCGTATACCAAATCCAATATGTCCAATATGTATTATCCATACAGCTCAGTATGCTAAACACATGCCGAACCCTTAAAAAAAGAACACACATCATGTAAATGCTAACCACTGCCATTGTAAAATAACTCCATCAATCATCACCATCCTTTTGTGCATTCCACCCGCTACCAGGACTACTTCAGTTCAGTCCCAGTTGTTGGGGTAGTATCCCCTTTTTGAAAGTTCCTTTCATGATAATACCCTCATTATGTAAACTCAAAGCACTGCTGATGTAGAGTAGAGTACAAAGATGGGTTGGGGAAAGAAACACTATCTATTGAGCATTTCCTAACTGCTTTCAGTTTAAACTTATTGAGTCCACGTAGGTTTTTGCTTCTGTTCATTTCGGGGATAAAGTATTAAATATGCCGAGTTAATATAGCACCTTTATTTATACATCACCATCCTTCACTATCCTGTTTAATCTTTATCTATATCACTTGCACATTGTTCATGCACACTAAGGAATTTGGCTTTAAAGAAGAGCTCTTTAAATCGTATTAAGTGTTTTTAATGAAACAAAAATCAACCTTAACTCTCTGACTTAAAGTTAGTTTAAAAGTTACCTACTTTAAGGTCAAATTCCTCAAGTTATTACCTCGTTTGCATGTAGTACACCTCACCTCAGATCACTGCACCTCACCGCTTTTGCCCTAATACCAAATGCCTATACAAAAACTATATAACTCCCAAACTATATAACCCCTTTTCCCCCGATTGGTTTACGAATTGGCCGCCATCCGTATGAGAATTTGCACCGCGCACGTACTGAAATTGTCTTTTGTCGCTATTGATATCTTAATGTGTCCGTTGAATGTGTCGTCTTACACTTAACACACACACACACCATACACGAAGAACACCCATTAATACACTACCAACAACCCAAAATCTAGTCAAAATTTTATTAAAATTCTCCCGTGCACCATTACCCAAGACTCAGCACGTTATTGCGACCCCCCAAGTATCCATGTCCCCAATTTCCATGCCTTAGCTGTAAGAAGTCCATTCGCAGATTAACCAACTTGCCGGGTTTGCCCTGCTCCCTTCTCTTTCTTCCCCTTTTCTTTCATAACCTCTTGCAGCCCTATCAATTGGGGGCCTCAGTGGGCTCAGCAATTCCCGACCAATCGCCACTGCCACTTCCAGGCACACCCTCCCCCGGCAGTAGTTCGGCATCGACGGGCTCCGGCTCGGGCTCCGGATCCGGATCGGGTAAAAGTAAGTCTGCAATAAGAGCTCCCAGAGATTACCTAGCTAATGACATTGTAATCCCCTTGTAGGCACGGATACCATCAAGCGCGGTGCCTCACCCGTTTCCGTGAAGCAAGTCAAGATCATCGACCAGCCCTCCAGTCCCTATTCCATTGTGCAAAAGAAACCGCCGCTGCAGAAGGATGCGCCCATTGAGATCACCACACCCACTACCCAAGCGGATGCACCTGCATCGGGGAGCAGCATCCGGGACAGAGATAGCAGCAACGGCGTAACAACGGCACGCAAATCCAATGTGGACTTCTACGAACCGCACAAATCGCTGTCCAAGAGCTTGGTTAACGAGGAATCCAGCTACAGCTCCAAGTACTCCTCCAGCCTGGATGCGGCCAAGAAGAGCAGCAGCTACGGCAATGGAAATGGCTACACGCCCAGCAAATCCAACGCCGGGAGCAGCCTATCCACCGGCGATGACTACAAGGCCATGAGAAACAAGTCGAGCGCCACCTCAAGTTCCAGTTCGTCGCAGGCCACAGTGCTGAGCGCTGGTTCGACGGCCACCTCGGCTCCGACCACCTCCTCCGATGACTCGGACGATCTGGTCTCCTACAAGTCGTCGGCCTCAACGAACGCTCTGTTGGCCCAATCGCAGGCCATGACCACCAGCCAGCTGATGTCCAAGTATCTGAAGCGAGAGCCACGAGTGCAGTTTACGCCGATCAAGTCGCCGGATTCACCATCGCCGCCAGGAGGTAGTGACGGACTACCCAAGGGTACCTACCAACTGGTGGCGCCCAGTACTTCATCGAGTGCTTCGACCAAGCCAGGAGCCACAACTGGAGCGATTAGCAAGTACACCACCAGCTCGGCGGATTCAAATGTGAGTACGAATAGCCAGAAACAGGCATCGCCATCGCGAGTAACCACCAGCAAGGTGGCCAGCAGCACTGCCTCGTCCTCGCTGGTATCCACAGGCCGGCGACTGTTCGACAGTCTGGCCTCGTCCTCGTCCTCGGAAACGGAGACCAAGACCTACATTGGGGCTAGTAGTAGCAGCACAACCTACAACAACGACACCAGGCACTCGGGCAGCAGTAGCAGTAAGTCGGGAATGGGCGGGGCTTCGGGAACGGGATCGGGATCGGGAGCAGGTTCCGAGCACCGGAGCTATGGCAGCACGCTCTTCGGCAGCAGCGGCCTGGGCAACGGCAATGGGAGCCACAATCATTCGGGAACCAATCCCAGTCCCTTTACCACCACCAACGGCAATGGGAATCACAATACCATGCATTTGTATGGAACCCTGCCCAAGAACGGCACCACCTCGACGGGGGCAGCCCTGTTTGGCAGCTCCTCGGCGAGCAGCTCCTCCTATCACTCCAGCTCCGGGGCGGGCACTGCCAGCAGCAGTGGGGTAAGCTCCATGACGGGCTCCACGAATAGCTATGACTTCTATACGAGCACCAGCAGCTCCTCGAGCAGCTCGCGTCCCTTTGCAAACGGGGGCAACAACTACCACACTCTGGGCACCTATCGGGCCCAATATGCGGCCACGAATCCCTTCCTCGATGCCTTCGACGAGAAGCCATCGGAGAAGAATGGCAGCGGTAGTAGTAGTAGTCACCAGGATAAGTTGGGAGCTGACAAGGGGAATCACCACAGGGCCACGGTGATGGCGGCATTCCAGTCCTCGGGTGACTCGAAGAACGGTAGCGATGAATACGATGATCTCAAGTGAGGAAACACCATTCGATGTGGTTAAAAAAAGGGAAATATGAACTAAAGCTGGGCTTATGCGCATTTTAGTTCAGTTTAAATGCTAATTTCAAAGTAGGATTTAGTCTTTATACCATTGAGTTATATTTAGGGAGCAGTTCTTTAGGTTTTTGTTTCTCCTTGAGCTTGATTTTGTAAATAGTTATTTAGGAATTTGATTTACTCAAGCGCATAAGTGTAGTCAGCAAAACGAATGAAAAAGTACGAAAATATGAATGCCATACAATGCTGAACGCCGTGTTCTTTTGAAGTATTTACAGTTTACAAATTTACAAGATACAAGATACAAAAATGATACAAACAAAGATACGAAAAAGAAGCAAATAAACGAATATTAAACCATAAACAATAAATGCGAGCGAAAGGCATATGAATCCACAACCCAAAACCCAAGCGGAATACGATTAAATCTGTGTGTTTGTTTAATGGAAGCTTAGCGCCTTGGCAGCTTAAAAACTTCTCTTAAAAAATAACCACGAAAACAACGCATTCAGCTAACATAAATCCGAATTCAATAACATTTACGAAACAGTATTTTTGAATGAACTAAGTATGTATGAATAAATATTAATAATAAATTGGATGAGAATAACAACAAGCATCGTATACAAGTAATAACATTTAACAAGAAACTCTAACAAAAAGGTTGAACGAGCATTTAATTTTTACAAAACAAAACAGAACAGAGACAAAGCAAAACCACATCACAGGACAATTTCTATATAAATATACATACTATACTTATAACTATATATAACTAATACGCTGATGACATATTTTTGCATACTCCCTCCGGGTCCCTCTTAGAACTGCTGTACATACCCCACACACACATCATGTCCTTCTAGAAGTAATCTCTAACCACAGCCCAGTGCTAACCGTGTGCTATGTGTGTTTCAATGTGACCAACTCTCTTTCTCTATCTATATACTATATGACAACCTATCTGAATCTGAATCTGAATCTAAATCGAAATTGAATTATTGGATGACTTTTTGAGCAATATATACTTGCCTAAACAAACAGTTTCTCTACGCCTCTTATACATGCATATATATATACAGGGGCATATGTGGTCAGATCGGAGGATCAGGTAAAGCTATATGCCCACACACACCACACACGGATACATACAAAATACATGAATTTATTGACGAATCGATGTGCTTAGTTTTTGTATGAAACAAAGTCTGATATACACACTAATATACAATACAGTACAGTATAATATTTATAACCATTTAAACATAATTATACAAGACGATGGAAAAACAAGAAAAACTAAACAAAAAACAGACAAAAAAAAGAATGAAATGAAATACAAAAGTAAAGCTAAAAATATATATATACTATAAAGAAATAACATAAAACTTAAAGACGCTTTGCGATTAAGACGGATTTTACTGCAAATTATGATTCCCAAAAGCTTTTTATAACGTATTGGCCATACTGTGCTTAATCCCCAACAACAAAAATCGTATAACAAATTTACATACATACCAAAAACATATTTATAATGATCCTATAACAATCCGCATTAAAAATATCTCCCAACTAACGAATGCTACGGAACTGTAAATACCCACAAAAGAAATCAATGTACTACTACAACGTTTGTGCTTTAGCTAGAGTATTCAGTCTGGTCGGTCAGTTCAAGCTAGTTCTAGTCATAGTCATCGCAGTTATATATATATATTATATAGCCTAGCATTAACATATTATTTATTTAGGCCAGCCAGGGAGCATAGTAAGCAATAATAAATTCACAGAGTAGAACAAGGAGAAATTGGAAGGGATATGGAATCAATCGTCTTCATAAAACCACTTCCTTCAGCTGAAAATACCAAATCAAGAAATACAATTCAAGTTCATATTCAAATTTCTCATCAATTAACTCCAAATGATATAGCCAAGATTGTGCATTATTTGATTTTAATAATTAAATACAGAGTAATATCGATCGTGGGAGTGTTTTTAAATAGCAAATTATTCGGTTAATTGTTGTCAGATTTATTTTATACGAACGGAGAACGGAGAGTGTTAAACATGATTCTCAAAACCAAAAGAAAACCAAAGAGTTATAAACCACAGCATAGGCAAAACATACATCTAGTTGAGGCAAATTGATTTTTATATAGTGAATTGTTAATTATTGCATATAGCGAGTAGAGTTTTAAATAATACAATGAGGCAAGAATGAGGAAATCGTGTTCAGTTGTAGCTGCCCCAGAACCTGGTTATTGATTTTAGGATTTTAACGTCGTTTAACACATACCAAAGAAACGTCAATGTTACTACAGCTGTCGCCTTCGTTTTAAACACACTAGTCTTAACCCATAATCCGAATAACAATATCCCGTGAGAGTTAATCCAGGATGCCCCCCATTATTCCCCTTTGTTCACCCCTAAAAGCTTTAATCGTTGAACGACCCCGACCCGAAGGTTACAAATTCGAGACATATTCTACAAATACCAGATACTAACTAGTAGGAGCGAGTACTATAGAGTCGGACAGACAGCACTTTGATTGATTTGCGAATTGTTGTGGCTTCTTAGTCGTAGTTAGCTTAGCCCTAAGATGTGGACAATTGGTGGCAGACTGGGTAAAGGAATAGAAATCTTAATCCAAATCAGAAAGTAAGGATAGTACGAGCTGGAGCTGGTGGTCAGTTGGTGGTGGAAGTGGGTTTGGAAATTGGGGAAACGCTGAAGCTATGTATATGCCTGGCTTTTGCCGCTTGAAGGGAGTGCTGCGCTTGTTCTGGGCCCCCGATCCTGTTCGATGATATGTACTTGTACTTGTACTTTAGCAACCTTAAGAAGCATACACTATGGAATATATATCACTGTGTCATATCGTACATTTAAAAGCAAGTAAAAGCAAACAAATTGGAGCCGTTTAGAGAAGGCGGAGGGTAAGGTAAATTGTTAACGCAAAGTATTCACACACGTATATAGAGAAAGTATGTATACAAACCTAAATTAAAATGAATAGAGCGGCCGAGCAGCAACTACATAATACATAATACATACTACATAATACATAATGCATAGTTAAATACTAAACTAAACACGATTGATTGGCAGGCAACGCAAACCAACAAGTACTACAAATTGTATATGCATTTAATTTAGAGTAACTACTACTAACTAAACACACCAAATAACTGATGACGAAACCAATCCAACTGTTGGCTGGCAAGGGGGGCGAATGGCAAATATGAATTGATAATTGAAATCGAACTAATTTACCGAAATGTATTGCACAATATCGAACACTTATAAATATTAGCGGCAGTAACTAAGGCTATACATACAGCAAGTAATACGCATACGAATAGAATCGAATACAGGTTCGGCCTCCACTTAAGTTCATGACTCATGACTCGAATCGATCTCGGAGGGAAAAGGGGAACTCGGGCAGTTTGAATGGGAGAGAGCTCAGCTACGATCTGGATCCGGATAAGTTGGATAGTGCATATGCCTAAGAATATAAATATACATATATATATATAGTGAATGTGTGAATTTATGTATGTATTAAATGTGCCTAAACTTTCATTTACTTTTCCACAAAGAAGATCCCTCCTTTCGTTCGTTCGTTTCCCCCTAAAACAGAAAAAAACACACCCCCACCTTTGAGAACGCTTTGACCGGGGACTTTTCCATTTTTTCGACTTTTCGATTTTTCGAGCGGGGCAAAGATTTCTTTTGTCGAACTTAACAAGTAAATGGAGACCAAATGCTCAGGGCTTTAGCGAGTTATAACATAGTAGGCGTAATATACAAAACAAGAAAATGATAAAACTTACAAACTAAGTGTAACCACACACATCACGAGCATGCTCCATCAAACGTTAGGCGAAATGCATTCTTTTAGTTCAAACTGAAATTCTTAGCTCTTGTGCAACATGCAACATCAACAACAAGAACAACAACAACAGAAGCAGCAGCAGCCATAACAACAACAAGAACAATCCAGCAAACAAATTTACAAAAATCCAAGCAATCAATTTGTTAAAAAGACTGAAAACCAAAAAATAAAATAAAACAAAAAGTGAACGAAGGATACCAACAAGAACAAGGAACTCTCTACCGACAGAGATAGAGAACAAAAGAGAGTTTGCGTAGAGAATCGAGAATCAGAGAAAACCAAGAAAATATGCGAATATTTTGCAGAAGATCCCCAAGTCATGGAAAGTCTCAGAGTTTCATTTTAGGTTCATCATTTTGTTAAACGAGAACTTCAGTTGAGAAACCTTTTCTAGCGCGTCATTGAACTTTAACGAGGTGTAATCATACAAAAGAAAACCTAAAGTAATAGTGAAATATTAGCGGAAATAATATTACCACCAGCATTTTGCTACCTACTTAATATGCAAGTTTAATAATTAAATGCAATAAGAAATAGTCTAACAAATAGTTCAAAAACCTATCGAAGGGCAGGCGGAATGAAGGCGAATAAAGAGCGAGGCGAGCGTAAACAATACCCTAAAATACAATCTAATGGCAAAATTAATTCCGATCGTACTTTGAAATCATTTTCTAAAACCCACCATATAAAAAAAGAGGAAGCGAAATGAACAAATTAAACTTAACGTAAATCTAGATCTCTCCGTTTGCTACATACCATGATAACAACTAGCGCCTTCTTCGTTTGGTCCTCTCCTAATAACTAATTGCTTAGAAACCCAAGAACAATTAATGGTATATAGTAAACATATGTATATATCTCTGTATACGTATTGCGATTCTCAGTACTTATATAAGCAGACAGCAAAACAGACAGAGCGAAGCCACAACGGAAGCGAAAGCGGAAGCGGAAACGGAAGAACCGAACCCAACCAACTGACACGAACGAGCATTTCGAGGAGACGACACATTAGCGAGGATTCGTTAGAACGGATAATACTCTGATTTACCACTGCCACAAAGAAACAAACAAAAACAAGTAACAAGTAAATTGTAACGTTAATATAGACATAAAGCCCCAGCCGGGCGCTACATTACACATATACTTTGCATATAGCGATAAAAATGATATATATTGACAAGTGAATAATTTGACACAAGGACATAAGGCGGAAATCCATTGCAATTATCTATATAGTGTGCGCCGTGCATCGTGTGATTGCCCAGCGAGCGCAAGTAAACTTAACATTATTATTTATTCCGAACAAAATAACAATAATAATTATCTCATAATTATGGAATGCAAAAACCAAATAAAAAAAACTAAACCCCAAATCGTTCTTTGCGTGAGAATAAAGCGATGTTACATTATTTAATGAAAATATATATACATATAAATAAAATTGGTCTTTTATTGATTTGGGGGTTTCGAGAACTGGGAGATCGAGGTAAGTTTTCCAATATAGATAGTTGAGCATCTCTAGTGGTAGATGCACATCACTGTTGGCAGGTAAGATGCTATTTTATCCCAACAGCGCGAAATAGCTAAATAAGCGTGTCTGGGGGCAAGTAGGATACCATTTTTTCCCAACAGAGCGAAATAGCTAGATACCCATCACTGTTGGCAAGTAAGATGCCATTTTGTCTCAACAGCGAAATTTCTTAATGAGCATCTCTGGTGGCAAGTAAGATGCCATTTTCTCCCAATAAAGCATAATAGCTAAATGAGCATCTCTGGTGGCAAGTAAGATGCCATTTTCTCCCAATAAAGCATAATAGCTAAATGAGCATCACTGGTGGCAAGTAAGATGCCATTTTACCCCAATAATGCAATATAGCTAAATGAGCATCACTGGTGGCAAGTAAGATGCCATTTTCTCCCAATAATGCATAATAGCTAAATGAGCATCTCTGGCGGCAAGTAAGATGCCATTTTCTCCCAATAATGCATAATAGCTAAATGAGCATCTCTGGTGGCAAGTAAGATGCCATTTTCTCCCAATAAAGCATAATAGCCAAATGAGCATCACTTGTGGCAAGTAAGATGGCATTTTACCCCAATAATGCAATATAGCTAAATGAGCATCACTGGTGGCAAGTAAGATGCCATTTTACCCCAATAATGCAATATAACTAAATGAGCATCTCTGGTGGCAAGTAAGATGCCATTTTCTCCCAATAATGCCATATAGCTAAATGAGCATCACTGGTGGCAAGTAAGATGCCATTTTACCCCAATAATGCAATATAGCTAGATGAGCATCACTGGTGGCAAATAAGATGCCATTTTCTCCCAATAATGCATAATAGCTAAATGAGCATCTCTGGTGGCAAGTAAGATGCCATTTTCTCCCAAGAAAGCATAATAGCTAAATGAGCATCTCTGGTGGCAAGTAAGATGC